AAATAAGGTGGTAGAAGGATATTGGGTCAGTCCTAATCCTTAGCCAGAAAGTGAATTGAAATTTACCTAAATGTAATCTTCTGTATCCACATGCCTGTCCAACAAAAAAGTTCAGATTGCAAACAAATCAGCATACACCACCAGATAAGCAGTTCTGCCTAAGAACAAGTCTTGGTCAAGGTTTTCAAAGCTGACCTTGTTTTCAGATTAAAAATGGATAGGCTACCAACTGAAAGTCTTAAGTGTGAATAATTTTGGAAATATGAGTCATATAATTCTTCTATGCTTCAGTGAAAACAAGTATGACTATTGGCCTCTCCTCAAGAAAAGCTTATTATTATGTGACATGAAGGTTTTTCCAGCTTGTTGTACATACTGTAAGTCCAATTTTTGGAATGATATGTATCAATCCAAGGTAAATAATTTTATTCATTTTGGTATTGTAGCTGTTTTATCTCACTTTAAGATATATAGCTTACAAACCTGAGTGTAAGGTAATCTTAATGTTGCCAATTTCAGATTTTAGTGCAACTGATAGAAATCAGTGGCATCTAAAGTAGGCTTGAGGTTCAATATTAACACATACATAAATTTATTGATATGCTAATTGTGTCAAAATATTTTTGTTACAGTGTAACATGAGTTTATTCACAGTATCATGAAGTCTGATTTGTGTAATTCTTAATATTTCTAAGACGTATGATCTATGTACAAATGTGTAGGTATAGGACTAGAGATGTACCTCTCTGGTTAAATATATGTACATAATTGTAGTAGCTTAGATGGCATTAATAAAATATCTGAGGTAGGATGTGGACTTTGTAATGCATTATATTTCAAACAGTTGAGTGTAATAATAAATACAAAACAGCAGAGTAGACTATAATTATAAGTTGGTCACTTTGATGGTTTAAACAGTCAGGGTACTTATTTTATAGTGTCTTTGATAAACTTGTGGAAATGTTAATTTTCACATTTTTTTTTCTTCACAATTTATAGTCATTTGTGTAATTTTTGTCATTATTAATATATCATATTCTGTTAAGATATATACTATTATAAACTTGCTTCTGGTCTTACTTGTGTTCAGTTGTTGTTATGAGGCAGGTAGGTAACATAGATTTAACCTTATATGCACCACATATGTGTGTTTGTTTATTACATGATACTGTTGTAAGCTATATTTTTATCATTTTTATTTAGATGTTAGTTAGAGGGTGTATGACATTATGACAAAGTACGTTTATGAAACTAGTCCTAGCACACTTAGAATTTTAGTGATAAAGAGACTTTTTGGAGATGTAAACAGGGCTACATTATAAATATGAGAATAAGTAAAGCATTGAGTGACATTTCAGTTGGTAAAATGCCAGTCATTCAGTTTCAGAGAAGTATTTGGATCAGTGTGAGTGAAAGTGTATATTCAATTACTTGATTGATTAGCTGTGAAACTGTACGTACAAGTGAATTTATTGTTATATTAGTTGTAGCAACATTAGTGGGTAAATCTGTTGAAAATGTTGTTTGTGAACTTAAGCCTACAAGTACAAATGATAGTGGTCTGTAGGTTAAGGAATAAATAAACTGGTTTGTTATCATTAAATAGATTGGACTTGGCCTTATTTTTACTAAATAATTGAAAATGAACCAGCACAATGAACACCATAACAGTGGTGTCAGAAGTGGGTACTTACAAGCCTCACCCTTTTTGCCTTAGCTTACCATCAGATTTTCTTCCTAATTTTATGTCATTTGCATCTTTGTTAATTTTATCCCCTACCTATTTTTTTAGCATCATTTTACCCTATCAAATCTTCAACAGTTAATTTTTACCTTTCACCTTCTTTTCTTTGGTGTTCCACGTATATTTCAGGATTTTTGTGGGATACCTTCTCCTTCTTCCCTCCATATTAGGATGTTTCCCATCTTCAGTTCTTTTCCTCCACATGTGGTTTCTTTGATTTTTGGATCTTCTGGGGTGGGACACTGTTGTTTGTTTACCATCTACTGCTAATAGGGACTTACAAAAATGCACATTGCTGAGATGGAGTGTTCCACAAGATTGCTTGTAGGTTTATCCTCGCGATATGTTTGCTTCATTAGTTTGCCCATCCCTGACCATACTCACCAATGGACTAGATGGGTAAAGCAGAAGAGGATAGCTGCCTATCCCTGCCATGCCTTGTATTGAATAAATTGGTATGGTCTGCTTTTCAAAATAGGGTTTTGTGGTCACTCATTGCACTGTCTCAAGTTGTTCCTCCAGACTCTCTAATGCCTTTCTCCACCCTTTTCTTCTAGTGGAGTTTGAGAGTCCTTACCACTTTCTAATTCCAAGTTGCTGGGGTGGTGGACTGTGGTGGCATCCTCCTGAATGTGTTAATGAATTACAAATAATATATATAGATACATAAATATAAAACCATTCGTTTGTTACTATGTAACAATGAAGTGAGCTGGTAAAATTGCAGTTCACCTCTTCATTTGGGATCCCTCATCATACCCCAATGTGGATATCAGTTCTCATTGGCTGGGTTTTGGATATATAGCTGAACCAATCAACATAAATCCTCACACATGTATTATAGATGTTTCTATTCCCTTGCTCATTTGTACTCTTGTTACTCCATCTGTGTTGTGGGGTCAGTGCAGATTACTATGGTTCTTCCCTTTCTGATATCCCTTGATGTTCTTATTATTCCAAGGATGTTATTGCACTTGGGACAGTTCCTGTCATTTTAAATTTCAGTGAGATGGTTTGCATTAAACAGACTTCTTTTCGAAGCTAGATGTTGGGTTCCTGGATCGATCAATCAATTTCTCGCATTATAATAACATGTCCCATTCATGGATCAGGGGGTACAAGATTCACTCCAGTCTCATGAACTTGAGGTGAAGCTGGTATGATCCTCTTTTCTACACCCACCAGATTGCTGGATTGTAGTTGACTTACCACCAGTACAATCCTCTTTTCTACCTCCACGTGTATGTTGGTACCTGGTGGCTGGGTTTTGGATTGTAGTTGACTTACCGATGGTATGATCCTTATCCTACCCCCCGTGTGGATGTTGGTTCCCAGCAGCACAGGTTTTGGATGTAGTTGACTTACTATGTACAGTCCATCACATCCTAGCCACTCTACACCTAGGGGCACATCCTTTTAATCTTACCCACTTATTTTTTTCCAGGATTAAGTTTCATAAATAACATATAGTTCAAATCCCTATCCTGCCATAGTTCTCTCCCACTTGGATGTGCTCCCCCATCTTTCCGCCCACATATGCAATGTCTTTCCAAAATGGGCGAAGGGCATACCTGGTACAGAAGTGGTGCAGTCTCCCACGTATAATCTTCTACTATGAGGAATTACTCTTTTAGGGTGTCCTTTGGACACTTTGAAGGATGCTTCTTTCTTTCTCTCATACTGGTCCCTCCACCTTTTCAATATGATGTTCTAGCTATTTATGTGAGCAGAAGTAATATACCATATAAGAAGTTATAATTTTCTTATATTTTCCTCTCCACTGGTAACCAGTGCTTTCATTTTCTGCCAGAACTCAAAGTGATAGTTTGGTAAAATTGAATAGAGGGAGTCACATGCATCAAGAAAGTGTGTTGCACTCTTATTGGTGAATGGTTGTTGCATGATGATTTGCAGGTGAGATGCATTTGAATCAGTCGAGCTTCAAGGCTTGTGACATGCAAAACTTTTTTTTTTGCATATCAAGTGCAGCACTGAAAGAAAATAGCTATTTATGTGTGAGGAGGTAAGTACTTATCAGAAATACATTTTCAGCATAGGAAAATTATAACTTCTGTGGAAAAGATTTCTTAATTTAAATGGACTTGGACTGTGGACTGTCTTACTGAGTGAATATGAATATTGGTCTATTAATAAATGCTTAGTAATTTTTTCTACCATATTTATTAAGTTCTGTACCAACTAATCTCATTAGTCTGATTCCATGAATCACCTTATTTACAAGTCAAGTAATATTTTCTCTAAGAGATTTAAGTTTGTATCAGTTTTAAAGTTAATTTTCAGGAGCTTCTGTGTATAATGTAAACACACAGTTCTGAAAGAATATTTTAACAGGTCAGATTCACAGTGTTTGCATTTCTAGAAGCTGTGTCATGCATCAATCCATAGTCCTGCATGAGCTATGCGTGTAAACATCTTAGTGGAATCTGGGTAACTTGAAAAGTGTTTGTGTGTGTTAATAGGTAGAGGTATAACATGACAAATGTAGTTCAAAAGCTGAAGTTCAGACATGTACACGTAGACTTCAGTGAACAACTACTTTGGGGGGGGGGTAAGTCAAGATCAAGGGATGATGAACCAACTTTCAAAGTCTTGTCATTACAGTCAAGAGAATAGGCAGATTTGATGGGTTTAATATTTGTAAGTTTAGTTAGTTTAAGCCATACTGCAGACTTGCAGCAATATATATATTCTCCATAACAGTAACAGATTACAATATGACTTAGAAGCACATTACCACTTTACATAAATAAGCCTAGTATTGCAGTTTTCTGTAATACATTCTTGGTGGCTCCAAATACTTTTAACTTTCTAAGTATCTAATGTACAAAGGTTATTTCTTTTTCTGGCTTAGACCTTGTGAAGGCGTCACTAGTACTTCTAATGAACAAGTAAATATGAAGATAGTTGTTTCTAGAACATCTTATTTCTAGTAATGTATATGTATATAAAAGGAAGCAACATGCACTAATTGAGAAAATAATTATTATTTATAGTCTATGTATGTGTTTCTGTTCTGTATCAATTTCGTCAAACATTAGTCTGACAGAAACAAATTTGAAAACTGATATAGGAGTCACTTAATTATCATTAGTTACAGTTCAGATTACATATTATTAAGATTTGATAGCAAATTTTGTACAAGACCTCTTTTTCTCTTTACTTTTATATATTAATGCTGCATTTGCATATTGTTCTTAGCCTTCAGTTTCTGTGAATTATTTTGGTTTACTTTCAGCTTTAATGTAAGAAGATGAAAGAAAGTATTGTGAAGAAGAACTTGGAGGACAGCAGTGTTAAGGAAGATGATGGTAATGTCACAAGATGTGAAACCAAAGGCGAGGGTAACACAAAGAAAATCAAAGAACTTGCTGAAAAGAAGACCAAAAAAGAAATTAAAACCTGGAAGGATTTTAAGACGGGAAGTAAAACGAAACATGTCAAAAAAGGTTATCACATAATTTAATATGTTGGTTTTTATTAAATATTTGTATATTTTTTATTATTTTAAATATAGGTATTGATTATTCATGTTGCTGACAGTTGTACAGAGTGACTAGATGACTTAATCTCTGTAGTGCTGGTGGTGCATTTATTTTAAAAATTTTCACAATTGTTTTTAAAGGAATGATTGAGGAAAATCTTCATTTGAGACATCATGATAATGTTTTTGAGATGTTTCTCTCCCAGTTTCATGTATATTTTTTCGGGTTACTGACCATTCTCTAGAAAATCTTTTAAGTACTGCACAATGAAAAGGGGGAGTGGGTACTTTGAAAAACTTCTTAATCTATTAATCTCTTGTGCCTAGCTTTTGATAAGTGCAATAAAACTGAATAATTAATCATTTGAATTTTATCAAAGGTTTTTAATTTTATGAGAATTAATGTATTTTTATCTCTGACCCAAATGTATGCTTTTTTTTTCTTTAAGCATCGTATATTGATAAATCTGAGTTCTTTGTTTGCAAAATTAGAAGCCATGGTTATCAAGCAAATGAATGCTCGTAGAGGGTGCTTAGATTTATTATTTTTGTATTACAAAAGTTTTTGAAAGTAGAGATTTCCACCCTCTAAAATTTTCTAAGTTCTTCTTCACAACCATCATAAACTCTTCAAATCCATTCAAGCATCAAAGAAATGTAGAAGCCATTTAAGCACAGTTAGTTTAGTTTCAAATGCCCAGTTTTATACCAATTGGAAATACTTCATTTTATTAGAGTGTACAGTGTGTATATTTACAAGTTTCCAGCCCTATTATTACTGATTATAGTTTTACAAGCTGCTAGAGAAAAAATGGCTATGAATATTTTACTGAAACCTGGACAATAGTAATGAATGCAGTGTTGAATATTTCAAAAGGTAGTTTTAAAATTAATTCAAGCTCCTTCATGTTTTTGCCTTGAAGAATTTCTGTAAGCTTTCACTTTCTGCCATTGAAAAAAAATCCAGAATTTTAGTAATGCACATTAATTGGAAACTGCCACATTGAGGATTCATTATTTCTGAAGTTCACTGTTCTTCATTGTTTCTCATGCTCCCTTTGTTTCTGCATGGTTTTATACAACTATTTCAGCAAGTTTTTGAAAAGTACACAATTACTATAGTAGATTTCTTTACTCTTGTGAGTAGTGATGAACTTTGTAATTGTGAGTGCATATTTTATTATTATTGTTCATATTTTTGTTTCACAAACCTACAGCAAAATTGCTGGGTATTTTGTACCAAAACCTAGACAGACATTTGTAATGATTGCAAATGTCAATTACCTATTTAGAAAATTGATTATTTTTCTCTGATAGATTGTTTAGGCAGAGCATTCATGATGAGTAAACTGGAGTGGATGGTAACTGCCTGTTGTAAAAAAAAATACAAGTGTAGAGGACGACATTTTGAAAGTCTTCTGTCTTTTGTTTTCAGGTTTTTACAATAGGCAGTTACTAACTAACCATTCCAGTTTCTCATCTTGATTATTTTTCATTGAAAGTTGATTTAATTGGCTGTAAATACATAATATATGTGATGTTGGAGTGGCTTCCTTTGTACTTGATGCTGTAAATGTGTTTACACGAAATCTCAGGCTCAAAACCACCTGGCTCAGTAAATATGTAGCTTAAAATTTATTCTCTATAAATGTACATAAAAAACTTAAAAATAAGATAATTAAAGATTTAAAAAGGGTAATAGGGATCATCAAAAAAGTACAGAAACAAGTTGAATCAAAATGCAAAGGTTATATTTTCAAGCTAGAACTGGGGACTCTAAAAATGTAAACAAACTAGGCTGGACATAGTATCTACATTATTTTCTCAAACTACTAATCCCTATTTGGACTCTATATCTACAGTACTTATCAATTTTAGCAGAAATTGATAAGTACTGTACATATAGAGTATACCTAGTTTAGCATCAGCTGCTATATATATATATACTTTTTCCATGTGAAGAAGTCAAGCATGAACAAGTGTTGAGGAACTTTGAATGAGGGTATATTCATGATTGCTTTAGTTAGGACTTCAGGCATGACACCTCCATTAGCCTAAAGCATATGCTGAGATAACTTGGATGGAAGAAATAATTATTTTTAGCAGTTTGATATTGTTTAATGTGACAACAAGCATGTCTTAATACACATATAAAGTAAAGAGTATATACTGTTGATACTGTATGAAGCCAAGGGCTACTTACTTGAGTTCTTCCTCAGAGAGCCATGTAGATGCATCTTATTCAGAGTAATAATGTCTTTTTAGTGAATAGTGAATAAGGTTTGAAAAGATAGACCAGGGTAGCTTTCAGTAAATACATTAAATTAACTTCATTTAGTACAATCACAAAAAATATTTTAAAAATAAATTACTAAAGATAGTGCTTTTATGTGATACAATAAAGAGTTTGTAGTATTTATCTTGCATGATTCCATGAAGAATGTGTGAACTTTTACATTCATAAATATATAAAATGTTTGTTGTGCATCTATATAAAGGTGTCCTGGATTTAGGTGCATTCCTGTACATGTAATTATATAGCAGAATTTTGTGAACTTGCACACATGACTGTGTACCAGGTATGAGTAAAGATTTGTTATATTCCTGTGTAAATATGCTCTATTTTTGAGAGATCTTTGCGTGTGCAACTGTATATTGAGTTTGTATAAACTTTCATGTGTGTGTGTGTGTATTAGAGTTATGTTAAATTGTCAGGTACATGTGTAATTATATACATACATACAGTGGTGTACTGAGGCTGAAATGAACTAAAACTATGTTCTTGTACTTTTTATAATATGATTAGAATATGTATATGTATATTTAAAATAATGTTTAACATTTTATAGTATTAAACTTGGGTGCTTAAAATAATGACTTAAAAATTAAACACAAGTAACATATCTTTTATGATGTGTAGATGTTATATAAACTACAGGTAGTTTATCAGCTGTATTAGTGACTCAGATATGCTAGTTGGTTGTATAAACTGAACTGATAAATGGATTATAATTCTAGACAAATGAAATGCCTGAAATGCATCTTATATGTGCATATATAATTCCTGGACTGTAAATCAATTAAGATTTAGTGGGTGTTCCAGAACCAAACATTTTTACTACTCCATCAATGTGTACATGTACCATATTAGTACATTTAAGTATATACTAGATTTGTGTGAACTTTGCACGTCTGGTAAAATGTTAAAATAGGTAAGCAGTCTTTTTATTGTAACAGCAAGGGTGGAGATTATTTGCTTGGGGCTTAGTCTTAATACATGTAGCTCAGTTGATAGAACGTCTGCCTTGGATGACCTGTTTACATGGATCAGGTTATTACAGTGCTTCTTGTTTGAAGAATGAATGGGGACTGTAAACAGTCTCAGTCAAACAGTCCAAGAGTTGTAATTTCTAAGAGAGGATAGGTGTGTAGGAAGTAACAAAGTATATAACTATTTTTGGGAAACAGAAAGTAGTTTAACAAGGTAACATAATTTGACCATGGTTAAAACTTTTGAAATATCTTTTAAAAATGTCAGTTAATGCATCTATTATTTTAAATTGATAAAGTATGTCACACTTGCTTTGAATAAATGCATTAAAATGCTTATAATGAACTATATGATACCACAAACGAAAGATATAGTTAACACATGTCGTATCACTGGTGTGATCAAGGGTGATTGAGAGACCAATCAAAGTATTGTGCATATGCATAGTAATGGAATTACTGGAGGTTGTATTTATCATGTTGTTGTGAAACAAAAAATATCTGTGACAGTGAATGTTAATGTATTGTTCTCACTTCTTTTTTTCCAAATATCCCCTGTGACATGCAAAAATAGTGGGCATTGTGTCGTCTATTGATGTGGATTGTAAAAAGCACTCACAAAATAACATTTACAAATGCTTATGAACACCAGTACAAAAGTGCTCATAATAATAGAAACACTGATATTAAGAAAGCTGCCATGATCAGGGCTTGAGTATGGGACCATTCACTCACATGTTACTGTGATGCACCGAGGCTACATGTATGAGAGATTAAGTATCAAGCATGTTATTGTCATCTAATTATTACAATATATTGTCATGCTTGTAGGTTTTTATATTTAAGATTATTTTAAAACTATCTTTTCAAATAGTTTTAATCAAAATTATATAATTTTTTACATATAAAAATATTCAGTTTCTACTTTTAGAGTGGTATCAGAGAATGATTTGAAGAAAAATAATTCTACTGAGTTTTGTCTTCTTATACAAGAATTTAATTTTGCTATCATATTCAAAATGTACTCACATTGAATATTTTCTCTTTATAATCTGGTTTGGATCATAGAAAGTGTTAATAGTTTATTCATACATTTTACCAATACACTGATTTATTTTAAGATTTTTTTTTTACTTATTTTCATTTCTTAGTCATGAGCCATTGGCACTTACATTTATTCAAACATACAGTATGTGGTAAAAGTATAACAGGTCAGTTAAGTGCACCAGTAACGTTTCACTTGTAACCTCTATTAAGCTATTACATATTGCTAATTACAAAGAACATTGTTAAACAAGATAAATTTACGTACAAGTTGGATGTAATTAATTAAGGCAAGTTTACAGATGTGGCTTGTTCTTTTCAGAAAAAACTGATATCTCTAAGTTTCAAGGGGAAGGAATACAGTTTAAGGCTAAGATGATTGGTCAAGATGATGTGAACGAGGCACAGGGTGATAAGATGTGTCAAGAATCTCTACAGCGACTTAAGGTTGTTTGATATAATTGTAATTTTCTGTTGAAAGGAAAGCCTTACTGAGGTTTAATCTGTAAACATTGGACAGATAAATTTGGAGATTTGATTAAGCATTGGCCCATAAATACCTAAATATATATCTTAAATATTTTTTTCATTAATGTAATAAGAAATGTAAGTATAACTTTCTATTCTAACAACAAAAACAAAAGGAATTAACAGGTATTTAAGATGCTGTATAAATTTAACTTGGGTTATTTGTGTTGCTTAGTTTTTGGACATTAGGGCCTGGCCTTAATTGGAAGCTAGAAAGATAGTGTTAAATCTTTACAATGAATTTGTAAGTGTAATACATTGTATAGAAAAAAGAAAACTTAAGACGTGTATTATTACCAATACCCTGCCAGAGTTATAGATACAACATAAAAAGATTGGTATTCTTTTAATTTTGATTTTTTTTCCAAATTATAAAACTTGTGTGTGTGTGTCTATATATAAATGTTTGCTCTGAATTGTGTTTCAGATTTTTTCATTATTTTGATTATGTTTTAGGCCATTGTTCGAAGTTCTGGTGAACACAAGCATCGAATCACTCTGAACATTTCTCTAGAAGGAATTAAAATTAAGGATGAGAAAACTAATGTAAGCTTTCAAAAACAACTTCATAATATTAGTTAAAAATTCTTTATGAACTTAAGTAATCTCAATTTTCAAGTACTGTTTGGTTATAGATATTCACACTAACCTACACAATGACTATCTGCACTAACTGTCTGTAATTTTAAACTTATAAGCTAGAGGGAAGGCAACTAATCAGCAGAACCCACTGATTATTCTTGAGTTACTCTAATTAAGTATAAAGGACTCACAGCCCCAAAGTGTGGAGTGTGATTTTGTGGCAATGGTATATGAACCATGGACCCTTGGATTTATAATCTGGTATGCTAACCAAAAGCTGTATTATTCAGGACAGAAACTAATAACTATAGAGGCCAGAATAAGACCGAGCTAAGACTCAGAACTGTATGAAGGCTGGCGTGATGTGAAGGTCAGCCCTTGTTTTCAATAATTTATAACAGAATTAAATAATTTGTGTTATTCAAGTAATTATTAAAAATATTTAAACAAGAATTGAAAATCCATTGGATTGTCAAATTGCCTTTAGTAATGAATATTTGAGAATGTAGCAGTTACAGCATACTGAAGTAGATTTGAGCCTGGAGAAAGTCTGGCATTATAAATTATTTCAGTTTGCAGAATGTAGGTCATGTTAAACTTTTGGGTCTGCATTACATAGGGCATTTGAGTCTGTAGGAGGTAGAGCAAAATGAAGCATTTCAGTCCATAGCAGGTAGAGTGTATGACCATTTCAGTTTGCACTGGATATGTATATACAAAGAGATAAGTACATTAATTATATTAAAACAATATTTTGTATTCAAACCAACAAGTTATATGGCAGCCACAGCTGATATAAATTTGCAGTGGAATGGAATGTATCAGAACTACGTCTTGACATCATTTAACATTTTGTAGGTATTGGGATGCCACCAAAAATTGATCACTTTTCGAAATGTTATGTAATGACTGGATGTGGCAACATTGACTTGAACAACGTAGTGAGGCTCCAAAATTGTTTTAATATAATGTACTCAACATTTGTATATATATAGCATGACAAAGTGTTTGAATTCATATTTAATATGATAATATATTTGAGTCTCTGCTATAGGTGCTTTAGAACACTGATATATGTAAGTCTGTAGTATGTACTGAGTGTATAGCATTATGAAGTATAAATCTTACATGATTCCACTGTTAATATAATTTTTTCATACATAGTTAAAGGTATGGTCTCATTTTATGATTTCTTTCTTTTTCCCACCTTAATTTGTGATTCCAAGGTTTTTCCACTTTCCTGCCATATTTGTCTTTTTGAAGGATTAAAGTAATATTTAACTTCTTGAAATTTTTCCTTTCTCTGTAATGATATATGTACATATTTTTACTATGTATTGTTGATACTCCAAAATCTAATATGGTTAACCAATAGTACACTTTCAAACTTGATGTAGATGAATCACTATTTAAAATTATTGCTTACCTTGTTTCTTCAGGAGGAGTTGCATCATCACCCAGTACATGGAATTTCTTTTATTTCTCAAGACATCGGTGATGCTCGAGCTTTTGGTTACATTTTTAACACTGACGATGAGTATCACAGGTTTACTGCCATCAAGACAGAGAAATCAGTAAGTTAACAAGACATGGGTACCTGTTGTGATAATTTTTATATTTATGCACTTTTGTATGGACCTTTGTTAATTAGTTGTGGTTAAAACAACATAATAGATAATATTGTTTACCAATGTGACATCAATTTAAAATTAATTAAAAGTTTTTATAATAATTTGTTCCATATATCTCAGTATGTTTTAAGGAAGCTAGTAGTGAAGATGTGCAATTAGTATGTGGAGCTTGTAGATCGGAGGAGAAGTTTGAGGCTATCTTAATTAAAGTAGAGGCAATAGATAAAGAGAAAGGTAAACTGTGGGAAATGGCAGCAGGATTTCAAGAGGAGCTTAAGCTTTTACGTGCAAGGGATACATTAGCTAACAATGATTTTTGATAAGATACGTACGTCCGCTCACATGTAAAACTTCTCTCGATCTTGGACTGCCCTATAATGCATTAGAAATCTTAATTCTCGCTTAATGAGCTTGCCTTTTTATGCACCTCAATTCCTGCTGCTTATTTAGTATGCACATTGCATGTGACAACCCTCCATTAATAGAAACACGATACACACTCCCTGAGTAGCTGGCGCTCTCTGTATTACATTCTGTGTACCTCACTATCTCAGTTAGCATCTATTAGTTGGACATGTTTCTCACTTACTTGTGATTTTTGTGTGGAAATTTGTTGCTTTGTTTCCATGTTTATATATATATAGACACACACACATTTTTGATTGATTTTTCTGTTAGTTTGCTTACAGTTTAGAGTTTATTACATATTTTTCTCACAATTATTTTTGTAAATTATGAACTCACAATTTACTGTGTTTTTTATGTTGGCTCCTGCTTTGTCTAGTGACATGTTTAACCATAATACTTAAGCCACATGGGGCCTGGTTTCATCTTCTTTTCCACACGAGGTGGTGCAAGCTGATGATGAGGGGCATGAGGAGAGGAATTTGACTAATTTTTTCCTGCTCTTTTCTTTAATATGCCTTTATTTCAGGCAACAGTGGAGGATGTTTGACCTTCAATGCCATTCCTACAGTTGATTACTCATGTTTGCAGTATTTTGCAACTTTTTCCTGTGTCTTATGATTCGTCCCCCTCCCTATTAAGTGAGCTCCCTTCTTCAGATTAGTTGGTTTTTCCCACTTCCCCAAATATAGAGGTTCACGTTCAAAGATTTCTGTCCCAAATTCATTTAGGTTCTGGTATGCCTCACCCACTTGATGTTTGTGAGCAATATACTTTGGTTTTTCATCATTCTCTCAGTCCTTATTTGGATTCTCAACATTTGAGCCTGCTTTTACCTCTATGAGATTGTAATCATGAGGTTTCTGTTTCAGGCCCAATTCTCAAAGATTAGTCTCACTCTTACTCAAGTGTTACATTACCTGTCTTCTATGCATCTGCATCAGAGGTTTTTCGCTGTTCACCCGATGATTTTTGGGAAGAACCCAGTTCTCTTTTGTGGTTGACTGTGGCTAGACTTATAGTTTCTTGCATTTTTCTTTTTGAGGTAGTGTCAGAGCTTTTCTGGTTAAAGATGATATCAAACCAGTAGTTCCAGTTTCTACAGGTTTTTATTCTCATCTATTGGTCGTCCCCAAGAAGACAGAAGATTGGAGATCAGTCATAGAACTGTCCCATCTCAATCAGTTTCCTTACACACACACGTTTAACCATAGAATCTATTCTGTCCCTTCGTTGGGATTTTCCTTTTCATTCCAGGTTTATGGATGACCAAATTTGAACAGATATTTTTAATAAAGCCATCAATATCAATTATATAAAATATAGTAAAGCATTGAGATATATTAGTTTAATTGATACAAATCCTCACAAACCCATTTATTTTCTTCGTATCTTACCTGGTGAGCTAATTCATGAGAAATAACTTCAGCCACATATTGTTGACTATTAGAAGGTGACTCATCAGGATCAGACAATAATGCACTCATGGCATAAAATACTAGTCCTCAGTTCTCCATGCCTTCATATGGGAAGTCAGGTATAGCAACCATGTCTGAAACCGTGGACAAACCTTTGAATATATGTACTCACCAATTTTTAAATTACAAAAACAAAAAAACATGAGAAGTATTTTTCTTGGAGAATTTTAAAAAGAGGTGTTTTTTAATACATTAGTTTCATGTGCCAATACCTCCATCCTCCCATCATTTTCTTTGGTTCATTCACAAGGGATGTATTTTCCAGTTTCAGACTCTTCCATTAGGTCTTGCCACAGCACCTTGTGTCTTTTTGGATTGTCCAAACTTTCGCTCACTATTTCCGTTCTTTAGGTCTCAGGACTCCTCATTATATGGATGACTGGCTTCTTCTGGCTGGTAGGTTGGTGGATTAGGATTAAGTTAGAGAAATTAGTTCTTTCCTCCACTCAATATCTCATTCATTTAGATATATTTTTCAATTCCTATTGCAGTCAGGCATAGCAATCTCCCCTTCGTATTCAAGGTATGAGAGATTGGTATACGTTGGAATACGAGAGTCCTTACCAATTTCCAGTCCCTAGCTGCTGGAGTGGTGGACTATGGAAGTTTTCCTCTAGAGTATGGTATACATATACTACAATTTCTCTTTCCACTCTGGGTTATGGTTTCAAGGGGTCAGATGTGAGAGGGAGCTGGACCAGCTTATGCTGGATTCTCATCATAATACCGAATTCACGTTGATAGCACCCTATTACTATGATTGAGACCAGTCGATGCCCCAGTTTCAGGAATTCCCTGCTTCTTTCAGATTGGGTTAGGGGAACTTCGTCTGCCTTGTAATGCCAGTTGCAGGATGCATTACACCTGTTCCTACAGTTGAACAGATGTTCCACATTCTACTCATAATCTTGAAAACACGGTTGAGTAGTTCTTGTTCTGCTTGTCAAACTGGCTACAGGATGCATCTCTCTTCTTACGATTCATTTAAGTATTGAACACCACCCCATAATTCCAAGCTCACTTTGGCATATTTCTTGACTCCCACTGTTGATGTGGAAGTTTGTCCGGTTCTCGCTGTTTGCTTACTTCCATCATTGTAATTTTGATTGCTTGCAATATGACACTGTTTACTTACAGTTGGGGTTTGTGTGTGTATATGTATGTATGTATATTGCTCACAGCCTACTCACCCTGGCCATGTTACCATATTTCTCCTCAATTGATTCTTCAGCATTGTCCTCCATCTCGTAATACCGAGACAGGATGGGGAACCTCATCTGTTCGGTTGGGGTTGGGGTGAGTCTTTCTACCATTTCTTCTGAGAATTTTCCGTTATTGTTTAGGTCTCGATGCCACCTGTTTCACAACATGTCACTTCTTCACTGACAAAGTTCCATACCTATTCCAGAAGTGGTGCAGTCTCCCTCTAGTGTGCTTTCATACAGTTACTATGCACAATTGTTAGATTGCCTGGGGATGCTTTCCTTAGGGAGTATATTATTCTTTCTGTTACACCGGTTCCTCCACCTACTCAGTGTGGGATTCTAGCTTTATATGTGTGAGCAGAAGTATGAATAGTATTGGAAGTTATCATTTTCCTACACTGAAAATATATTTCCAATAGATATTTGCCTCCTGTCACATACTTCCCATCCTTCCTCCCTACTTCTGATGTTTATCTATTTTATGGTGTGCATAATCTCAAAAGTGAGGTACACAGAATATAATACAGAGGGAACTAAATACTGAGGGAGTGTATGTTGTTCTCCTATCGGTGGAGAGATATATCAGAAATCTATTTTCAGTGTTGGAAAATTATATATTTCAGGAAGTTAGAATGAGTACTATTTTGGGATAAAAGTAGTGGATTTAATTATAATAAGCCTATTCTATTCAGCATCAGATATCAGACCTAGGATTGTGCAGATCAGGAACTATTTGAGGGAAGGAAAACAAAAGGGAATGAGAAGAATGTGGATGATAAACTTAAGAAAGTTATAGTTGTAAGTGATACCTTGATAAGGCATGTGGATAGGATAACCTGTGGGGTAAATAGGGTGAAAAGAATTATATTATCCTACTCCCAGAGGCACAGGTAGAGGATATAACTGACTGAGCAAGAGATATATTAAAGGAGGCTAGCAATGATGCAGTTTTTGTTGTGCACATTGGGGCTAATGATGTAGGGAAAGGTAAGTCAGATGAGCTAATCAATAAGTACAAGGGGTTGATAAAGGTATTTAAGAAAAAAAGGCCATAACTTAATCGTGTCAGAGATACTGCTGAGAATTAATTGTGGGGATGAAAGTAGATGTTGGTCAAAAAGGCTACTTGCTAGGCTTAGGTTAATATTTAAGGATGAGCAGATTGGCTGGTTGAACTTTTGGGATCAGTTTGATGAGAGGAGGAAGCTTTTTGAAATGGATGGTTTTAAGATGTAGAGAAAAGTTTAACATAGGAAATGAATATATAAGTAGTTGTAAGGGTAGGCTTAATTGTTACTATTGTAATTCTAGAAGTAGAAATAAAATAAATGACTAGAGCACTGGTAGGAATGGAGGATTTTAATATAATGGGAATAACTGAAACATGGTTAAATATAAATGATTTTGATGACAGAAATTTCTTTGAAATACAGGGTTACAGGCTATCTAATAGTGATAAGAGTACTAAAGAGAGGCAAGGAGTGACTTCATATGTAAAATGTGAGTTACATTCTGTTGAAGTTAAGGATATGAAAGATAATAGCAAGGAGATTGAATCCATTTGGGTTTCTTCTTGCGGATATAAAGGGAAAAAGCTTTTAGTTGGACTTTGTTACAGACTATAAGATGATTTTGATGAAATCAGTGAGAAACTTTATGGTGAGATTAAGGTTTCAGCTGTTAATGAGGTCATAATTATGGGTGATTTTAATTTCAGGCATATAAATTTGGAAATCTTCAGTCAAACCATGAGTGAGAAAAGCTTTTAGAAACTGTTCAAGATGGTTTTCTTCAGCAATTAATCAAGGAACCTACTAGAAACAATGCTATTTTAGATTTACTGTTAACTTCAAATATAGAAATGATCGAGAGGGTGGAAATTGGGGAACATCTGTGTGCAAATGATAATTACTGTATCAGGTTTGATGTTTTGCTGCATATTGAGATCAGGGATAATGATATTTTGGTTACAAGTTT